CTCATGTACCGGTGTTGGGCTGTTGGTTTCCTGGAAACTGATCTGCTTGACCCTCATACGTCGAATCTCGACAGGGGAGTCGATTATATATATATATACCCACCCAAGTATAGGATTAGTGTATACAGAATAAATTCCAATAACCAACAAATACTATTCTTAAAAGAGTGCTCATTTCTGGTGTCTTGTCAAGTGATGGTGTTGATTCAACACTATCACTTGATAAAACAAAATGGCTATTTTTGTAGTGATTTTATAATATATTTATGTTATAATTTTGAATAAATAATTTATATATATATATATATATATATATATATATATATATATATATATATATTTAGTTTATGCAAACTTAGGTAATCCGTATGGGTAGACCCGAGGAAGATGATATCCAGAGAGCTCAATGTAAAATTCAGAGCAGATATGTTTGAATAAAAAACAGACCACGTTAAGATTCCATGTAATAAGCTATTTCACCATAACCCCTTTAACAGGGTTCTGGATCATCAGACTTTACTTCCAAAAGCTGAAATGAAAAATGAAAAGAAATTCACACGTTTTTGACAGACCTCATCAAGTATACGTAAAATTAATGAAGTGAGGAAGTGAGGTGGGAGAGAGGATATGAGTGTGTCATATGTATCATTTCAATTTCCTATTTCTAACCCCAGTGTGTCGGCTAGATGTTGCTCAAATTTAACGTGTCTCGTCTCTAGATATAAGACCGACATTAAAGGAAGAAGCTACAACCCCAATCAATTACACGACAGGTTTCATTCAAATTTTTAGAGCTGTTAATTCATGTTACTTTAACGTGCATATTTGGGAGGTTAAGGTTTGATAAATATCTAAATGTCTAAACAATCTATGAAGAAATTAATTTGAAATTCGGTGGAGTTTTGGGTATTTTCTATGAAACAGTCGATTGGAAAAATTCATAGACAGTACATTGAAAGAGTAATCCATTTTATATTTAGTAATCTTTTTTATTCTACTAAAACTTTTATCTTATTGCTTGTTAGGTTGACATTTATTCGTTTGATTTTTGTTCATTAAGTAAACTTGTGACTGTTTTTGATTTTTGTTCATTAAGTAAACTCGTAATGCAAGTCAAAAGCTAAACAACTTTAAGAGAGTCACAGAGTAAAAAGTTCACAAAATAAAAATAGTATTCATATCCAAAAGAGATCCAATGAAGTGGTCATAGCCTTCTGACTTGAAGACAAGAAAAACAAAATATTTGGGCATAAAACTGAGAATTATCTAATTTGTACTGGTTGTGAAGAAATCCCAGCATAAATCTATAGGATTTGGCTATAAATTTGAGGAGTTAGGGTGTTTAGCAATCATTCCAAACAGATCATGACCAACAATTCTTGGATATCAGTTGAGGGAGAACTTTGACCTCATTTCTGCTGCATCGAAGAGTGAGTGAAAACTGGAATGTGTGATAGCATGAACAGGAAATGCATCAGCTAAGATAAACAGGATGCACAGGTGTCCTGAGCCTTGAATAAACAGAGCATACAAGTGTCCTGAGCTGAAGGAAGTGTGTGCTTGCATGGGTGCATACTGGAAGAGGTATGGCCACACAAAGTTGCATGGGCACATGGCTGGAAGCAGCATGGCTACAAGAAGTTGTATAGGTGACATACCAGAAGAAGGCGTAGCCACATGAAGTTGTGTGGGTGTCTAAATGTTGTAAAACTGGACCAATTCTTGGCCTGGCATAGTGGCTGGCTAGAGTTTCACCAAAGATTTGCCAATTCCCATGTGCACAATTCTAACCTCTGTGATTCTCCCTCACTCTACCCAATCACTGCAATTCAAACAATGAAAATATTTATATATTTTTTATATGTAAGTCTTTGTCATCTTATTTGAGCCCAGCAGCAATATACAATACAATCTAATATACTCTGAGTTATAACCACAATAGGAGTCATGTTAAACAGAATCTTATCACTGACATGGTTGTTAGAAAAGAGAATATGAGATGGATGTTGCCCACAAATCATATCATTATTATTCTGCTATGATTAGTACAAAAATAAATATGAAATGATTGAGCTGAGTTCAAATCCCAGCTGAGGCAGTTTGTGTACACTTTTTCTATTCTTGGTTGGCAACCACTCTAGAAAGACAATTTGAAATTTTAAACTGTGGATAAAAGGAAAAAATTTCACTGTTTATAAATATTAAAGTAAAAAGCAAGTTGTAGAGAGCCATGATTTCCTACATCCAGAAGGCTCTTCAGGAAGAGGAGATTGGTTGCCATGGTTATAACTTTCTGATTATCTTCAGATATCTTTTTTAGTTTGAAAACATTTGGCAATTTTGCAGCAAACACTTTATTAAATCCACAGTGGGAATCTGTTCACATTCCATTGTCTATGAGAGAGGATATCTTGCATCAGATGCATTAAGATGTCATCTTTTGTATTTTTTTTCATTGAACCAGAGTATGCAAACCTTTTACTGTCTGACCTAGGGATTGAACTCATGACTTATGATAAGTAAACATTTAACTAACAACTAAAAAGAACAATCGGGTAGTGAAATGTTGGAGCCTTAAAATTAATATTTGATCTTTCCTAATCCTACTGCAACAGATTGAAAAAGGTTTCTGAAACAAACACTTTATGTGGAGATTGTTCACATTACATTGGCCAAGAGATGAGATATTTATGTATGTCTTGACCCAGCAAAGTAGACACTTACCTAATACTTTTATCTATGACATAAAACAATCAGATGGTAGAATTTTGGAAAATTATGTCTAATAGAGGAACTTTATTGATCCAGGCTTATGGCCATATAACCGAAGTTAAGCAATGTTGAGCCTGGTCAGTATTAGATGGGTGATCGTTTGGGAATACCAGGTGGTGTAATGGATAATGGCTCAGAATTGTTAATCAGAGAGCCAAATTTCAATTCCTGTTAGGTTTGTTACATTAATATACGTTCAAATACCCTTGGAAAAGGTATGACTTTACTTTGCCCCTTAGCCATGGGTTAATTAGTAAGACTTGTATCACTAAACCATTATTATCTCAAAAAAAAACCTTGCAATCTAAAAATATTTTCTCGCTTTAAATAACTTGCAAAGGGTTGATAAGCCAGAGAAAATGAATCAATTAAATCAAATTTATTGATCCATAAAATCTTACATATCTGGCTACAATATGGAAACATTTCAAACCTCATCAGCAGTATGACAAGGAGGAAACAGAAGCCACAGTCTAGTTAATTTTTTTCTAGTATATGCTGCACACATTTACAATTATAGATGTGAAGAGGTGAGGACTGATCATTTAATCATTTCATACCACATTCCAAACAAATCTACCAATAGAAGACAACAATCCTTCATTTCGATGGTAGTGTACTGATGAAGAAGAGTGCTATGCCAATGATATTCACAGATGGGATAAGAATGATCTTCAACAGAAAATCAACATCCTCTACCAAGTGTTCCAAGAAATAAGAGGGAAGCAATGGATATGCAATGTGATTGGCCTTAATCTGGCATCTCATTTACAGTTGCTTTCTCACAGATGTGCCGTTGATTCTCCCTGTCTTTTCTACAAATACTTTCATCGTAACTGCTCTGATGAGCTACTTTCACTGGTTCACAAACTGCATGAATTTAAATGTGCTACTAGGTTGGCATTTCAGTCCCACCCTTTCACTGTCGAAACGGTTAAATGTAACCATCTCTTCTACTCAAACAGCTTCTTCTCTCACACTTCATGTCTGTAGAATTCCCTTCCTCTTACTTACTTCCCTGATGGCTATAATATCTAACTATTTAAATGCAATGTCAATCGATATCTCCAGATGCCTTGCTCTATTCCCTGTCCTTCTCTTCGTCCTTTCCTCTATGATGCCTCTTTACTCTTCCTCCCACTTTCTGTAACCCCTTGTGTGCTAGTGGTATCCTGCTTTGCTTGGGGTGAAACACTTAAAAAAACACTGCAAGTTGTTAGAAAGCATAATCCTGATAACTCTAGTCATGTTCTTAAGTAGCTTCATCAGATTGAGACTTTCATATGGATGCATGGTACCAAACCTATTCAGAAATATCTACACTGTATACAACCATTTTCCAAGATCAATGTTTAAAAATGGTTTTTGAGCAAATGAAGCTTGAAGGTCTTAGTGAAGAACACACTTCTTTGAACTTTGTGAGATGGTGCTATAGAATCCCAAAGAAAGAACTGTACCAAATAACAGAAACCACATCACTTGAGGACTACCAACAGCAGCAACAACTAAAAAGAATAGCACATGTAACTCAAAGAGAAAATAATGACATAAATAAGATACTGGTAGTCCACACTGTTTTAAGAGAAAGATTTTATAAATTTCAACTCAAAGTCATACAATCTGTTTGGTTAATGAATTCCAAAATTTTCTTTATAAGGAAACAGCTAATATTATAATTATAAATTGAATAAAGTGTTACCAAACCTGAGAAACAACTGAAGGAGGTCAGAGAGTTGAATAGCTGAAACATTGTGACTATAACAATCAAGATGGGGATAGTATTCTAAATAGCTCAGTGTATAATAATGATAATTCTTCATGTTAGCAATTTAGACATAAAATCATGATCATTGCTGATCTTTAAAGCACCATGCTAGATCTGTTATTATTTAATGAAGCAGTGACTTTTAGCTGATGTAGACAAGCAAGAGATTATTTATCATGAAATATATACAATTAAGAATGTTAAATCCTGATTAATTTCATTTAAGGCAAAATTCTCAGGAGTAAGCCTATATATATATAAACATATTTAGAGAAAAAGCAAAAGATTAAGAGGAAGCAAGGAGATATGTTTAGCAATGAAGTCGATCAGGATAAAAAAAACAGGCTCATTTTTCTAACCAGGCCAATGTCTGTTGCTGAATTGAAAGACAACTGAACACTCTGCATAACTGCTTTCAGATTGGAAGTGGGGGAAAAAACTTGGAAAAGAGTAAGAAAGGAATTTACTGTTGGCAAATGTGATTGTATTGAAAACCAATTGGAAAAGTTGAGATGAAATAGAGAAAAACAATTGAGAGGAAGGAAGGAAGAAAAAAAAATGGGGGCAAAGCTAGTGAGAGTGGAGGGAAGATAAAAACATGAAAAGAAAAATGGATATTGAGAAGAGAAAAGACAAAAGACAGAATAAAAAAAAACTGTTGAAAGAGAAAAGAAAATAAAAGCAAAAAAAGACTAATTGAGACATTAAGGAAAAAAGTGGAAATAAAAGAGAAATAAGAGGCAAAAAAGACAAAACTGAAAAGGGAGAGAAAGTAAAAAAGGGGGAGACAAACATTAAAAAAGCAAACAAAAGAAACTAAAATAAAAATTAAAAGTAAATGAATTTCAAAATATAAAAAGAATATCACACAAAAGAAAGAGGCAAGAAGGATGTAGGGAAAAGAGAGGAGAAATTGGGAGTAAAAAGAAAGCAATGTTGATAAAGAAAAAGAGAAAGAGAGGTGAGAAAGTGGGATAAAAATGGCAATAGAGAGAGGAGAAAGTGAGAGCAAAATTTATGCCAGTATGAGAAAGAGAGAGAGGGGAGAAAGTGAGAGTAAAAAGAAATGAATATGAGAGAGACAGGAAGAAGTGAGAACATAATGAAATCAGTATAAGAGAGAGAGGAGAAAGAGAGAGTAAATTTATATCAGTATGAAAAAGGGAGAGAGGGGAGAAAGTGAGAGTAAAAAGAAATAAGCATGTGAAAATGAGACCAAAATGAAGTGAATATGAGAAAGAAAGAGAAGAAATGTAGAGAGAATGTGATAAAAATAAAAGAGGTAGATATGCAGGCAAAAAACAAAGAAAAAGGCAATAAATGACAAAAGAAGCAGTAGGTTGCAAGAAGGAGGAGAAATTGAGAGGTGTGGGAATAGGAGAAAAGCAGTAGTAAAAGGAAAGGAAGTAAAAAGAGAATAAAGAGTGAGCATTTATACACAAATCTATATAAATATATGTATATTACCACTAACACAGAATGGCCCATATATATATATATATATATATACACACACATACTTGCTATACCATATATATTTATATTAAAATATCTAGATATTAATAAATTGATGTGTGTGTGTAGATAGATAGATAGATAGATAGATAGATAGATAGCATTTAAATGGTAAAATAGATGGTGCCTAAAGCCATTAGTATTAATTTGGTTCTCCCTGAGGTAATCCTGAAGTCTCCAAGTTAATCAACATCTCCTGACTCAAAAGCATTGATGGTATCACATTTCATTATGAAGATAATTTTTCTAATGATTCCAATGTCATTATTGATTCCTTCAGGATAAGTAAAGATCTTTGTTTTTTGCCCATTAAATGAAATTGTACAATTTCAAGGATTTCCCAGATGTAAATCATCTCCTTCAGGATAAAACTAGGATTGCATACTTCTTATTGCTCTCCTTTCTACCTGGGTGACAATTACAAATGAATTTAAAAGAAAGACGTTGGAAATTAAAAACATTTAAACTTAAAATTGAATCAGCCTTTAGATTCACTCAGTTTTTTTTTTCACCCAATAATGAAACTGGTATTTAATTACAACTTGAAAATACTGTTTCTTCAAAATGTTTCCTCAACTTTACAATATCTTGGGTGTAGATAAAAAAATATATGTATATGTGTGTGTGTGCATGTGTGAATATATCTTCTGTATGCTATGTTTCTTCAGGGCATTGGGAATCATGTTTCTTTTAGTAAATTTTGTCTTTTTATTTACTCTCCTAAATCTTCATCCACCATCTATTTACTCTAGTTCACTAGGTATGTTATGCATTGTTTTCCTCCATCTGTCTTGCCTTCAATCTGTCCTGTGCATATCAAAATTTCCAAACCCTCTTTCCTCATCATATGCCCTAAAATTTCAACTGTCTCTTCTTGAGGTTAAGTATAAGTGTCCTTTTTGTTTCCATTTTCTCTAAAACGTTGTTGCTTGGATGTTCAGTTCATAGTTTGTTTGTTTGTTTTGTTTTATGGCACATCAACTGGGTCATTTAATGCCAACAAACTTTTAGAATAAGTTCGTAGAAATAAAATGATAATTCCTTGTAGAATAAGTTTAGTACAGGACTAAATGTTGTAGGTGCATATCGTTGGAATATCATTGTACAGTATTTTTGAGTACAATCCCGCTTCTTTTAGAAAATGTAATATCTTGAATGGTTTTGTTTTGTTGAAAAAGTCTTTCAAATTGTTCTCTTGGTAATGTTTTGCTTGAGCTAGGTCAAAGTCTACACAGTCCAGCAATATATATTTTACCATAAATCTATCTTGGCATGTAGTGCATGTTGAGGCTTCTGCACCGTCTAGTAAATGGTGATGGGTGATGTAGGTGTTGCCGATGTGAAGGTGAGTCAGCACTACCTGTTCTCTACTATTGTTATTGTATTTTGTGTTCCATTCTTCAATGGTAGGTTCATGTTCAGAAGTTTGTTATTAGTGAGGGAATCCCATTGGTTTTGTCATTTATTTGTTATCATTTTATTGACAACAGTCCTATAATCAGTGTGTGGTATTTTCGCATTTGTTATTCTTTCATTGCCCTCTTTGCTCCTGAGTTTGCCTTGTCATTTCCATGTATACCAAGGTGGCTCAGTAACTAACAAAAGATTATTTCTTTTTTTTTGGACAGTTGATGAATTCTGTCTAATGCCTGGATGGTTAAAGGGTCACTAAGTCTTTTTTATTTTTCAATGCAGTTAGTGCTGATAAAGAGTCTGAGAAGATTATGAATCTATTGTAAAGATTTGGGGTTATTATGTCAAGCGCCAGATTAATAGCAATTGTTTTCACACTATATATTGAGTCTACATTTGTAATTCTTTTCCACTTTTTATTATCTTTTAGGATGGCCACATATCCGACTTTATTTTCGTTTTTGCTCCATATATAAAGGTGGTTTGGGTGTTTATTTTTGATATTGAGTATTTGATAGACAATTTAGTTTATTTTAGATTTAGGGTATCTTGTAAGTTCTAATATTATTTTAGGTTGTCTAATCATCTAAAGGAGGTGTAATTGATAGAACTGATCTATGGATCTGTGTTATGTCTATTTGGTTCTCTAGTATAATCTCTTTCATACATAGACTGAACAGCTTGATAGAATTTTTCCTTTTCTGGAAAAGTTCACTGTAGTCTGGTTGGAAAGTATCATTGTAAGCTGGATTTGGAAGGCAAAAAGATAGTTTTAGGTAGCATTGAAGAGTGAGTTTTTCACCTCTTAGTCTTAAAGATGGTCCATTTGCTTCTGTATATAAGCTTTCAAGAGGAGAGTTATTATATGCTCCAAGGGATAATCTAAAACCTTGGTCTGTGTATGGTATCTAATTCATCCAAGTATGATTTCCTGGCTGCTCCATATATGAAACAACTGTAGTTAAGTTTTGATCAGATTAGAGAGAGATATAGTTTTAATAATGTTTCTCTATCTGCTCCCCAATCAGTGTGCACTATGGCTCTGAGTAATTGCATGGTTTTATTACATTTGGACCTTAGATTCCTGATATGGGAAATAAAGGTGAGTTTACTGTTGAAAATAATTCCTAAGTATTTATATTCACCTACAACTGGAATTTCAGTGCGGTCAAGTTTCAGTACTGGGTCAAGGTGGAGCATGTGCATTGGCTGCAAAAGTGGACACATTTTGTTTTTTCTTTGGAAAATTTTAGCCTGTTCACTGTGGTCCATTTGTTCAACTTATTGAGGCATATTTGGAGGTGTCTTTCATATAGTAAGACAGCTCCAAATATGCTATAGATTTGCTATAAATCAAGAAACATGAATCATATAGATTCATGTTTCTTGATCTATAGCAAATCAGGAAGTCATTCACATACAATGCACAATCTGTTCTGTACTTAATGTTTTTGACGATTTTTTTTTATGTTAAATAGTGTGACAGATAATATGCTGCTGCTCTGGGGCACTCCCATTTTTAGAATTTTTTCCTCAGAGAAAATATTCACTCATTCAGTCACTAAATCTTTTATCTTGCAGGAAGTTATTTATAAATACTGGCATTTTAACTTGTAGTTCAAGTTTTTTAAGATCTTTTATTATGCTATATTTCCCTGATGTGTCATATGCCTTTTGAGATCAAAAAATATTGCTACTATATGCTCTTTTTTAAGAGAAGCCTCTCTGATAAATGTTTCTAATTGGATTAGGTGGTCTTATAAGGCTTCTTTGGCTTCTAAATCCAAATTGATACCTGCTGATCAGTTTGTTGGTTTCCAGATACCAGTTCAATCTGGCATTGCTCATTCTCTCTTGTGCTTTGCAGACACAACTGGTGAGAGTAATGGGTTGGTAGTTTTTAGCATTCAAATTATCTTTTAAAATTTTTGATATTGGTATAACTGTGATTTCTTTCTCTATTTTAGGGATATGAATGCTGATCCATATGTTGTTATAAATTTGTAGAAGGTAATTAACTGATGCCTCGGGTAATTCTTTTAAGAATTGGTAATGTATTTTGTCTTGTCCAACAGCTGTATTATGGACCTTGTTGAGGGATTCTTACAGTTCTCTTTTAGAGAAAGGTTGATTATAGTTTTCAGTATTTTTGTTTTGAAATTTGATTTTAACTTTTTCTGTTTTTGCTTTGATTGTTTGAAACTTTTTGGTTTTGGTTTTTGGGGGATAAATTTTATGAGAAAGTGTCAACTAGATGGTTTATTATATTTTTCTTGTCAGTAATCTTATTATTATTATAGTGGATGAGATGTTTAATAGGAGTATTGTTATTTTTCCAGGTTATTTTTTGCATCATCTGCCATACCTTTTTTGGTTTAGTTTTACTATTTATTTCACTAACATAATTCTTCCTTGTAGTTCTTTGATGATTTTTCTGGCTTTGGCTCTACTATTTTTATAGATGTTGAGATTTTCACCTGTTGGATTTATTTTAAATTTTTATTAGTATTGCTCTATGTAATCTCACGGCCTTCTTGCATTCCTGTTTGAAACATGGCTTGTTGTGTTTTGAAGAGTTGGAACTTTTTGGTATATTTCTTTCAGCTATTGTAAGTAGTATCTCATTGTTTTTATTGGTTTCTGGGTTTAATTTGGTATGGCATGAAGTTTTAAATCCTTCCCAGCCCTTTCCAGTTTCGAGCTTGAAGTTCACCTAATATGTCTTCTAAGAAAATCAGGAAGTGATTACTTCTACACTTGTTAGTTATAATCTAGAAATAGGTTAGGGTCAAATATTGTTAAGTCTATTGTAGAATGTGTGCCTGTTGCTGGATGCAGATATGATGTGCTTGATTTTTTGTTGTTGTACAAGCACAGCTGATATTTATTCAGTAATGATTCTCTTATTTTCACCCTTTTTTCCAGTTTTCTAGCTTCCCCATATCTCATTATGGCTCTTAAAATCCCCCATTATAATGAAGGGTCTTGGCAGTTGTTCTATTAATTTGCTAAGCTCTGATTTTTTGAGTTCTTCATTTAGTGGTATATATTATTGATGTAATGGAATAACCTGTCATCCCCACATGAGTGACTATACTATAGCTAGTAACTGCCTATAAGTATCTGTAAGTCAATGGATACAGAGACTAGCTGGGATCTGTTGAGTACGACTCAGACTTACGTGAGAACTATTGACTTTCCAATAGTAGCACTCACTACTGGATTGAATGGCATTGACCTTGTGCATAACTGTTACCTTTATACTTATTGTACTGTTTTTTTTTACAATAAACCTTTACTTATTTTATCCACCGTGTTTTTCAAGTATATATTCCTATTAGCACAGAATAAAACAATAATGAACACATTTTTATAGTTTTGTGGAGGGTTGCTGATACAGCAATTGCTTGCATATTTGTATTTAGCTTGATTTTACTATGTGGCATATTATTTTTTACTGATGATCCACTGCAAGCTCATATCATTGTACTGTTTAATATAATTGTATGATTAGTAATTTCTAATATTGATTGTATTGTTGTCTTTGGGGTGTGTTTCTTGAAGGCAATATGACTGCCAGGCAGTAGCATGTAATAAATAGCATCAATTTGCAATAGCTGACCCTTGTTCCTCTGATATTCCATTGGATTGTTTTATTGTCTGTGAGTATTTTGTTTTTGTTCTGTGATCTGTGGGATTTATTTTGTGTGTTGCTGGTTTATAAGAGTTTTATTTTCAATCTCTATTTCTTTGAATTCTTCAAGTTTGTTTGAGGTCGTTATCGGGTTATAGTTTGTGTAGTTCATTTAATTGGGTTTTGTTTTCTAATTTAAGTATTTTTAGTTATTTTATTCATATTTGTGCCTTTTTCGGTATTTAGAGGTTGGTCTGATGGTCTTTGCTGCTTTTCTTTTGTAAAAATTGTTTGTTTGGTAGTTTTAGAATTTTATTATTTGGTTATTTTCATATTGTCATGTGTACTAGTATCTAATTGTTTTGTTTTTGTATAGAGTTCAGTTTGGTTTGCTTTTGCTGAATATAATTTTTTAAATTTTCTTGAAATCTTAGCCATTCATTTGAGTTTAAATTTATCAGTTTTTTAATAAGTTTTTAATATTTATTTGTTTGAATATTGTCTTGAATTGTTTGGGTTTTCTTCTCTACTATGCTGGCATCTGTTTTGATTACCATATAGTTTTCCACAATTTTTTTGCTTTGGGGAAGGATACATTTTTCGTATGTTTTATGTACACAATTTCTTTTTCTCTTTTAAAGATATCACAGATTTTTGAACAAGTGCAATGTTCTCAGTGGCAGTTTGTGCATTTAAGTTTTCTGCACTCTTTCTCTGTATGGTTTGGGTCGCATTCACCACACTTCCCAGATACTTGGTACCCCCTGCAAATGTCTTTATGGTGTCCAAATTTTTGGCATTTAAAGCACTGCAAGTGAATTGGTATGTAATTTTCTACCTTTATTTATAGCGTATCCAATTCTGATTTTCCTTGTATTGTTGATTTATCAAATGTCAAGATATATATATATTGGTTTCTATGATTTCATCATTTCTTTTAATACTTATTTTTTTTTTTATTCTTTTACTCCCTGATGTTACCAAGCAGTCTCCATTTTCTTCTGCTAGTGAAAGATCTCGACCTTATAACACCTTTGGATGTATTTAATTTTTCATGTTGTTAGGCTTTACAGTTCAAGTTATGAAAGTTCTTCATTGTTAGTAAATTCTCTGCATGTTTTTTTTATTTTTAGTTCTACTAGTAAGTTTCCATTTTGGAGTTTTTTTCACATTTTCTATCAAAATGTAAAAGTTGGTCTCATTGTTTTTCATCTAAAGATTGAATTATAATGAGTCTTGGGAATTTGGCTGTTGTTTCTAGTTCAGACTCAGAATCAGTGACATTTCTTTTGGGTTTGTCTTTCTATAATTTAATTAGAACTAGTCACTCATTCTGTGCTCCACAAACCACCATGGAGTCCAACATCTGTTGGGAATATGCCAAGGGGGAATCCCAATCACCTTGGTTGAAACGGGGATACACAGCCAGTATACTTGCACCAAATACTGTTTTGAGTCACTGTCAGTTTCGTATTTAGTAACCTAAGAACTGCTATTTGGTAACATGAAGCAGTGATCACACTTTGATTTCCTTGGCATAACTGACCCTCAGCCACCTCTTTCTAGCATTTAAAAGTTACGGCAGAGATAAATGTCAGATAAAGTTGAATAATACAGTTAGGATTAACTTTTGTTGCTAGGCTATGTTATGACCAGCCTCTTGGTCAAATCAGGCCTCTTCAACCTCTTTTCTAGCTCAATTAAAGGCCAAAGTGGGGTGTTGCAATTCACATGACCGCTTTTAAACCAGGTCATAAAATGCTAAACCACCAGGATTCCATCTCATCCTAAGACATTGTGGGTTGCCCCCTATGGCAAACAGTTGGCTTTGTTGAGGGATTTCTACCCCCTGCAGTCAGCATATTCTAAAGCCCCACTAACAGTGTCAGATGCAGTTTAATGTCTTAGCCAGGACAATCAGCTCATGGTATTCTCAGCATCCTTCTGTAGAGCTACATTTCTGTTACTTCAAGTCTTCTGTGAGGAGATTGTCCAGCATTTACTGCTTTATAGCAGGACTGATATCACATATCAGTTCAGTACACTTTTCTTTATTTCTAACAAAATCTTCCTGTTTATTAATACTTTGCTTAGCTTTTGAAAAGCAACTTCACTATCCCAATGTGCCTTTAGATATCAGTGTCTCACTTTCCATCCTTTATGTTTCTTGTTTTTGTACTTGTTTGATTTTGGAATCTCCATTTTGTGATTTTCATGTTGGCTGTTCCTTTTGCTAACAACCATACATATCTTATTGCAATTGATGTTTAGTCTTTTCTTTTCACTTTCTTTCACTACCATTTGTAGTTCTTGAATTTCTTTTTCTCTGCTTGCTATCTATACTGTGTCATCTGTATATCTTATGTTGTTAGGATTGTGGCTGCCAATCCTGATAGGACTTCTAATTTCCTTAGAATCACCTCACCATTCAGGTTGAATAAGACTGGTGAGAAGAGAAATCTTTGCTTTACATCCTTTTCTATTTTTGTATATTTACTGAATTCAGTTTGCTGCCAGTATAATTTCATGATTACCCAAGCAATTCAAACAGTTCTTTGTAACGTACTTTATCAAACACTTTTGCATAATCTATACAACACAGGTACACATCTTTCTGCATTCATATTGCTTTTTCTCATATCAGGCTGAGCATAAATATTGCATTCCTTGTTCCAGTGTCTTTAATGAACCTGTACTGTTCTTGTCCTATTTCCAGTCCAATTCTACTGTGTAATCTGTTCATCAGA